TCTTTCTTCCTAAATCATCTTTTGTTTGTCATCTACAACCCACTAACGATGCCAAGAGGACAATGACAAGGGAGCAGAGCAGTGGACCTCAAGTCGCTGCTGCACAAATTCTGTGTTCTTTTAGGGTTTCTGGTTTTTTTGTTTGATTTTTTTTTGAGACAGGGTCTCATTATATAGTACAGGCTGGCCTTGAACTCACTGTGTAGCCCAGGCTGACCTCAAACTCCCACTGGTCCTCCTGGATTACAGACACGTCTCACCAAACTGCTTTTGTTTTCTTGTGTGGAAGTGCAGTAGACCAAAGCCTTGCAGTAATTACCCAGCAGCCCTTCAGCCTCTCCTTCAACCTAGGCAGTAGACAGGGTGGATTTATAGAGCAGTGATAGGTGAAGACTGATGGGTAGTCACTGCAGTGCTGTTGGTAGCAGTGGAAAAGCTAGAGATTGCCTAAATGTCCACTACCAAGGAAGAGGCAAATTGCAGCCCTGCACAGGAAGTGTGACCCTGCACAGGAAGTGTGACCCTGCCATTGGACACCCTGCCATTGAACACATACTTCTGTGTCCTTTTAAGGTGTCTTTTTGTTTTGTTTTGTTTTCTTGTGTGGAAGTGCAGTGGACCAAAGCCCACTGCACTTCCACACAAGAAATACCACATTCTGCCCTGGCCCCACTCCCAGGCATGCTGAGCCAGCCACCAAGAATGGGCGTGGTAGCACATGCCTATAATCCCAGCCCTGGGAAGCTGAAAACAGGAGGATCACTATGAGTCTGAGCTGCACAGTGAGCCCTTGTACCAAATACATTTTTAAAACAAAATCAGGATGTAGTTCTGTAACAGAGCACCATGACACTGTGGTTCAATCTTCAGTACCACACACACACACACACACACACACACACACACACAGCAGGAAATACAACTATACAACTATTAGGCATGGTGGCAAATGCCTGTAATCCCAACAATGGGAGGTTTACACAGGACAATACCAAATTCAAGGCCAACTAAGCAATTTAGACCCTGTCTTGAAATAAAATTTATGAAGAGCTGGGTATCTAATTCAATAATAAAGTTTTCCTAGCATACATCAATCCCTGGGTTCAATCTCCAGTATCACCCACCTCTCTCAAACCCACCCCAGCTGAGAATGGTGGTGCCCACCTGTAATCTTAGAGCTCTGGACAGCTGGGGCAGGAAGATCACAAGTTCAAGCCCATTAAACTTCTCGGAAGACAGTGGAACGGTGAGCAGCAGAGACAGAGCCTGTCCAAGATTTGGTGTACAGAGGCTGGAATATGGCAACGTGAAGAAGAAAAGACAGAGAGAAGTGGGACCCCAGGACCCAGCAAGGATCTGACCCGAGAAGTGAAGCCCACATGGTGAGCAAAGAGAGACTTAACAAAGAAGGCGGTGGCAGCAGTACTTTCTCCCGGAGTCTGGCCTCACTGCGTGGGAGGGGTGCCTCAAACAAGCAGCGCAGGGCGACTCCTGGCAACCCCGGAGGCCTCCAGGGGAACGGAGCAGTGGACACTGCACACTGTGGTGCCTGCTGAATTATTCCAGTTCAGCCGTCCCCCAGGACAGGGGATTGGCCTGTAGACATTTAGGAGAAGGGCCAGCTGAGCTTGGAACTCAGAGCAGCTGTGCGGTGGTCCCATCTAGCGGGTCCTAGTGTCAGGGTGAGGCTCTGAGTTACAGTTGGCAGGAGGTCAGGGAGCAGAGTTCAAACTGGTAGGAGGCACTGGGAGTGCGACAGGCTGAACAAGTCGGGCCCCAGGCTCCCAGCCAGAAGCTAGCCTGAAGAGCAGGGCAGCTAAAGGCGCAGGCTTGCTGGGATTACCCGCTACCCCTCCTAATGCTACGCGTGGCTTGCTAGGGTTAAAAGCTCAGACCTGGACTCTGTCTTCCCACACTGTCCTCCAGTGATGGGAGAGACAGGCCCTGAAGTGGACATTTTTAAATTTTTCTTCTTTCTTCATTTTTGTTTTGTTTTATCTTGATTATTCTTGTTTTTAATGTGAGTGTGAATATGGGTTCTAGGTTTTTGATGTTGTTGTTCTGTTGTTGTTTTTATTTCTTCTTCTTCTTCTTCTTCTTCTTCTTCTTCTTCTTCTTCTTCTTCTTCTTCTTCTTCTTCTTCTTCTTCTTCTTCTTCTTCTTCTTCTT